CGGCAATCTTGGAAAACAGTGCATTTTAGTTAGGAAATTAGTGTGTATATAGTAATGTGTGAAATTTATTAATAGTTTTTGTATTTTATTCTACACTGAAGATTTTACCGTGTTTAAATAAATGTTCAATGTTCAATGTTCAAAAGGTACCCTAAGGTAGTCTAAGGTAGTCTAAGGTACCCTAAGGTACCCTAAGGTAGGCTAAGGTAGTCTAAGGTACCCTAAGGTACCCTAAGGTAGGCTAAGGTAGGCTTAGGTAGGCTAAGGTAGGCTAAGGTAGGCTAAGGTAGGCTAAGGTACCCTAAGGTAGGCTAAGGTACCCTAAGGTACCCTAAGGTAGGCTAAGGTAGGCTAAGGTAGTCTAAGGTACCCTAAGGTAGTCTAAGGTACCCTAAGGTACCCTAAGGTAGTCTAAGGTAGGCTAAGGTAGTCTAAGGTAGTCTAAGGTAGTCTAAGGTAGGCTAAGGTAGGCTAAGGTAGGCTAAAGTAGGCTAAGGTACCCTAAGGTACCCTAAGGTACCCTAAGGTAGGCTAAGGTAGTCTAAAGTACCCTAAGGTAGTCTAAGGTAGTCTAAGGTACCCTAAGGTACCCTAAGGTAGGCTAAGGCAGTCTAAGGTAGGCTAAGGTAGTCTAAGGTACCCTAAGGTACCCTAAGGTAGTCTAAGGTACCCTAAGGTACCCTAAGGTAGTCTAAGGTAGGCTAAGGTAGTCTAAGGTAGTCTAAGGTACCCTAAGGTAGTCTAAGGTAGTCTAAGGTAGGCTAAGGTAGTCTAAGGTAGGCTAAGGTAGTCTAAGGTACCCTAAGGTAGGCTAAGGTACCCTAAGATAGGCTAAGGTAGGCTAAGGTAGGCTAAGGTAGGCTAACGTATGCTAAGGTATGCTAAGGTATGCTAAGGTACATTAAGGTATGCGATGTGTAAAGTATTGTATGCCTATTTCGGTTGCTTATATACCGAGAAAGCGCCAATCTAAGAGTGTCCACAAAATTTAAGTGCTTAGAGCGGCTTAAAAATGCGTTTAGTCTTTGAAATTTTTCCTTCTTTTTGCTACCGACGTACTCGAAATCAGATTCTTCAGCTTTTATTACATGGGGACTATGTAGTTGCTGTTCTTCCAACTGGGTTTGGTAAATAT